GCTCACTCCTATAATTCCAGAACTTTGGGAAACTGAAGTGGGCGGATCACCTGAGGTTAGGAGTTTGAGACCAGCCTGCCCAACATTGCAAAACCCCATTTCTACTAAAAATACAATAATTAGCCAGGCATGTTGGCGGGTGCCTGTAATGCCAGCTACTTGGGATGCTGAGGCAGGAGAATTGCTTGAACTTGGGAGGCGGAGGTTGCAGTGAGCCAGGATCACGCCATTGGACTCCAACCTGGGTGACAGAGTAAGACTCTGTCTCAAAAAAAAAAAAAAGTGGTGTGTCCATCGAAGAGATATCTCATGATGATAGCTATGAAGCTGATCAAGAAAGGAATCAGTCAAAATTAGAACATGAACTTGGCAGGTTGAAGAAAATATAATAATATCATTAAAGATTATAAAGGATGAAAAATATCAGGGACAGGGTAGAAAGTGGCCTGTTTCTTCCCTCCGCCCCTCCTCCAAAAAAATCAAACAGAAAGGCTACCAAAAATTCCAACAGAAATTAAAACTATATTTTAAAAGTCAAAGTCCAAATTTGAAACAAACTTAAATGTGTTATAATTTTGAGATAGTATGGCTGGGTGCAGTGGCCACACCTATAATCCCAGCACTGTGGGAGGTCGAGGAGGGTGGATTACCTGGGGTCAGGAGTTCAAGACCAGCCTAGTCAACATGGTGAAACCCTGTCTCTACCAAAAATACAAAAAGTAGCTGGGCGTGGTGGCACATGCTTGTAGTCCCAGCCACTGGAGAGGCTGAGGCAGGAGAATCGCTTGAACCTGGGAGGTGGAGGTTGCTGTGAGCCAAGATTGTGCCACTGCACTCCAGCCTGGGCAACAGAGTGAGACTCTATCTCGGAAAAAAAAAAAAAAAAATTTTTTTTTTGAGATAGTTCAGCAAGGAATGAGAAAGAAAATCCACTTGCCCTTGAATGATAAGGAAGTTAGGACAGGGGAATGGAGTGCAGAATAACGCTTGGCTGTTCTGTGAATAATACTTATAAGACTATAAGTGCTCATTATCAGCTTATAAATTTTAAGTCTATAGACAAAGCATGATAAACTTAATTACAGTTATATAACAGAATGTAAATGCCTTCAAATTTGATAATATGAAAGTAAAGTTTCACCAGACCGAAGATGGGAAATGGAACAGGGAAGAGATAGAGGAATGACTGGGGAAGCTAATATCCCTATCTTCCCAAAAAGGTAAAGTTAATGCCGAAAGTTGATAGGATAACAAATAGAAACTTATGTACAATATTTAAGGTTACAAAGGTAACCAACAGAAGTAAAAATAGAGGGATTCAACTATCAAAAGTTGGGAAGTGCTGGCTGGGCACAGTGGCTCATGCCTATATTCCCAGCACTTTGGGAAACAGAGGTGGGTGGATCACTTGAGCCCAGGAGTTTGAAACCCCATCTCTATAAAAAATACAAAAACTGGCCAGGTGCGGTGGCATGTGCCTGTGGTCCCAGCTACTGGGGAGGCTGAGATGGGAGGATCACTTGCGCTCCAGAGGTGGAGGCTGCAGTGAGCTGAGATTGAGCCACTGCACTCCAGCTTGGGCAACACAGGGTCCCTGAAAAGAAAACGAAAAGAAACAAAAAGAAAAAAGAAAAGAAAAGGAAAGAAAAGAAAAAGTTGGGAGGCAGTGAGGAAGGGGTGGTGTGAGATTCCGCATGACCTTTATTCTCTTGGAAAAATAAGGAAAAGCTTCCCTAGTCATTTCTCTGTCTCTCCTGTCAGTGGAAAGTCTAAACATATTGTTTAAAATTACAGAAGTCCATCATTAAAGAACTAAAACAAAAAATGATTAAATAATTAATGGGGGCCGGGCCCAGTGGCTCATGCCTGTAATTCCAGCACTTTGGGAGGCCGAGGCAGGCAGATTGCCTGAGCTCCGCAGTTTGACACTGCCCCGGGCAACATGGTGAAACCCCATCTCTCCTAAAATACAAAAAATTAGCAGGGTGTGGTGGCATGAACCTGTAATCCCAGCTACTCGGGAGGCTGAGGCAGGAGGTTGAAGTGAGCTGTGATCGTGCCACTGCACTCCAGCTTGGGCTGCAGAGTGACACTCCATCTCAAAAAAAAAAAAGGCCGGGTGCGGTGGCTCACGCCAGTAATCCCAGCACTTTGGGAGGCCGAGGCAGGCGGATCACGAAGTCAGGAGATCAAGATCATCCTGGCTAACACGGTGAAACCCCGTCTCTACTAAAAATACAAAAAATCAGCCAGGCGTGGGGGCAGGCGCCTGTAGTCCCAGCTACTCGGGAGGCGGACACAGGAGAACGGCGTGAACTCGTGAGGCGGAGGGAGACCGCGGCACTGCACTTCAGCCTGGGCGAGAGCGAGACTTCATCTCCAAAAAAAAAAAAAGGGAACAGACACAAGGATGGAGAGGGGGAAGAGAGAGAGAGAGAGAGAGAGAGAGACGAGAGACCAGTACTTTTCTTTATAGCCCCCTATACAATTATTTTAATAACTGCACACAGGTATTTTCTTTGATAAAATCTTATTAATAAATTTCATCTGAGCTGGTTTAGAATAGCTCTACCTAGTGATTAAGAGTAAATGGTATACAAATTATGAAGGACTTTTCTATTTTCAGATTGAATCATGTAGAAATGAACTTGCCCAGGCTGGTCTCAAACTCCTGAACTCAAGCTATCCTCCTGTATCGGCCTCCCAAAGTGCTAGGATTACAGGCATGAGCCACCATGCCCGGTTATCTGTATGACATTAACATCATCACTATGCTCCCTTCAAATGTCCTTAAAATGAAAATGTAAATTTCCTTAAAATGTAAATTCAAATGGAAGGGGAGGGCAGATGGGTATCATTCGAAAGATATATCCACACTTATCAAGAATGAATAAATACATATGTAGGTGTATATATTATGCATATATTATATATGCACATTATATGTTATATAATGTATACATATATGTATACATAATACATTATGTATATATCACATATGCAACATATATGTATTAATATGTATATATGTACATATATACATATTGTATAATATATATGTACACATATATGTATGTGTGTATATATATTTTTTGCAGACAAGGTCCTGCTCTGTTGCACAGGCTGGAGTGCAGTGGTACTATCATAGTTCATTGCAGCCTTAAACTCTTGGGCTCAAGTGATCCTCCCACCTTAGTCCCCCAAGTAGCTAGGACTACAGGTACGCGCCACCAAGCTCGGCTAATTTTTTTAAATTTTCAGTAGAGATGAGGCCTTGCTATGTTGCCCTGGCTGGTTTCAAACTCCGGAGCTCAAGCAATCCTATTGCCTCAGTCTCTCAAAGTGCTGGGATTACAGAGGTGGGCCACAGCACCCAGACTATCAGAAACATTTAACACTATAATTTAACACTATATATGTGTGTGCATACACACACACACATAACAAAGCAGTATTACTAGTGGACAGATATAGAAACAGCTTTATTGGCGGGACGCGGTGGCTCAGCCTGTAATCCCAGCACTTTGGGAGCCCGAGGCTAGTGGATCACCTGAGGTCAGGAGTTCGAGACCCGCCTGACCAACACGGTGAAACCCCGTCTCTACTGAAAATACAAAAATTAACCGGGTGTGGTGAGGGGTGCCTGTAATGACAGCTACTCGGGAGGCTGAGGCAGGAGAACTGCTTGTACCCAGGAGGCCGAGGTTGCAGTGAGCGGAGATGGAGCCATTGCATTCCAGCCTGGGCCACAAGGGCGAAACTCCATTTCAAAAAATAAAATAAAAATCAAGAGAGAAAATAATAAACCCAGCAAACATTTATGGCAAACTTTCTACGTGTCAGGCACTGTGCTAAATGCTTCATGAGCAGCTCACAAGTATTATCATCTGTTTTACAGATCAGGAAATTAAGGTGCAGGGAGGTTAAATGCCCAAAGTCACACAGGTAAGTGGTAGGGACTAATTAAATCTGTTCCAAAGCCTGTGCTCTAAAAACCAGAGTAAACTTCCTCCATTTCTGGGGCCACAACCATAAACACTGCATTCCAGCCAAAACACCTTTAAGAAATCTGATTAAAAAGTAGGGGACAGATTTGACCAGGTTAGCACTGTACCTAAAGGCTGAATTCACAGGCTTCTAGGCCGGGGATCAAATTTGGTTTCTTCCTTAACTCTCAGAGACAAGAAACAGTCCTGGGTGTCTTCAGAAAGGTATGAGTGTCAATGAAGAATTGTCTTAACGTCGCATATACGTATTGGAACATGCTTCTACTTGGACAGATATTACAATAAGAAAAGGGCAGATTCCAACGGCTTTTTCTTCGAGGAAAGTCAAGTTAAAGTATGTTAGGATACAGGAGAAGGCTGGGCAGATAGGTTAGTTCCCTATTTCCTGAGAGCTATGAACAATTTTACCTACCCAATGCCCTTCCCTCGAACTCTCTTCCTTACCCCCAACCCCCAACCCCCATCTCCGGCGCCCATATCCCCTGCAGTCACTCAAAAAACATTTTTGGAAAACAAAAAGACAATGAGCTCTTCGTTTAGGCCGATTCTGGGAGCCATCTGTATCTTGTGTCCTTACGAGGACTTGACCTGCTGCCTGTCAGCCCGAGGTGCGCGGTGGCTGGGGAGAGCGGGGAGTTCAGCACCGGAGTCGGCCACCACTCTGCCTGAGCAGGACAAACCGGCACCCAGCCCTAGATTCCCCACCTGGAAGCCCTGGGGGGTGGGGAGGAAGGGGAAAGCAGGAGCTCGCCTCTCTCGCCCGGCAACTCCGCTTCAGCGTCTCCCCGCCAGGCCCAAACCTATTCTGCTCTCGGGCTGCGGGGCCTCATTGCGGGAGTCGAGGACGCGGGTTAAAAAGGGGGCCCGTGGAGGGTGAGGGTGAACCCGGGATGGCCGCTCCGACGAAGGCCCGGGCCTGGGGAGATGGAATCGGTGGCAGAGCGAGGAGGGACTGGCCCCGGCGGCTCACCAGGCACCCCGCCAGGCAGGTACCTGTTCCTGGAGTTAGCAAGTAGCCCCGACCGTCTTGGCTCCGCCTCCTCAGTTTTACGGCCGCGCCGCCGCCAGGCCGGTTGCTGGGAGGGGAGTACGCAACGTGCCATGCGCAGTCGGGCGACTGGGAGGGCGGATAGAGCGCTCCGCCCCACCCCGCCCCGCCCCGCCCCTCCCTGCGGGGAAGCCCCGCCCTTCCGAGGGGCCCCGGGTGCGGCCGGCCCCAGCAGCTGTAGCGCTGAGAGTTCTCACCTCTGGTGGTCTTTTCCGCCGCTTGGCGCTTCCGCCTAGAGCCTCCGCCGCCGCAGCAGGAGGGGGAAGCAGGTGGCTTCAACAATGAAAGACCAGAGAAAGGCAAACTTGGCTGTTCCTGAGAATTGTTTTTTTCTCATTTCATGTGGTAGGACTTCTATGGGAAAACCTGCCTCGCACTTTTCTCAAATGCCCCTCACTTTGGCCTTTCGGGCACCAGACAACAAGCTGCAAAGGGGGAAGTCCATCCGTTCTTTGCTCCCCACTATTTGTAAAACGAGGAAAATAGCTCAACTAATGAAAACGATCATCTTGTCCCCTCTGTATCTTCCCCCCCAGCGGAAGCCTTCCTCATCCACAGCTGAAGCCGTTTGTGGAAACCTATCAGGTTTGTCCAAGCCAGGTTATGCAGAGCTTGAGAAATGAGGAAGTGATGGACTAAGCCCCACTCCTGTGAGACTAGGTTTTTCAGTGACTTACTTAACCCCGCGTGCGCAGGAGAGGGTGTCCAAAACGCGGATATATACCATCAGGTAATGAACACTCGCTCTTCGCAGCTCTGAGCCTTAACACAGATTTAGATTGTCCTAACTTCCAAGACTGGGGAAGTTTAGCTACATCCAAGTAGAGACTGATAGAAATATGCCCCTGGAAGGCCGGGCGCGGTGGCTCACGCCTGTAATCCCAGCACTTTGGGAGGCCAAGGCGGGTGGATCACGAGGTCAGGAGATCGAGACCATCCTGGCTAACACGGTGAAACCCCGTCTCTACTAAAAATACAAAAAAATTAGCCGGACGTGGTGGCGGGCGCCTGTAGTTCCAGCTACTCAGGAGGCTGAGGCAGGAGAATGGCCTGAACCTGGGAGGCGGAGCTTGCAGTGAGCAGAGATCTTGCCACTACACTCCAGCCTGGGCGACAGCGAGACTCCGCCTCAAAAAAAAAAAAAAAAAAAGAAAAAGAAAAGAAATATGCCCCTGGAATTGTGGGACCTGTATGCACATTAAGTCTCATTTGATCTTACATATATATATATATTTTTTTTTTTTGGTGGTGGGGGGATGGAGTATCGCTCTGTCGCCCAGACTGGAATGCAGTGAGGTGATCTGGGCTCACTGCAACCTCTGCCTCCTGGGCTCAAGCAATTCTCCTGTCTCAGCCTCCAAAGTCGCTGGGACTACAGGTGCATGCCACCATGCCCGGCTGATTTTTGTATTTTTGGCAGAGATGAGGTTTCACCATATTGGTCAGGCTGGTCTTGAAATCCTGACCTCAGGTGATCCACCAGCCTTGGCCTCCCAAAGTGCTGGGATTACAGGCCTGAGCCACATCACTTTGATTTTATCGAGTGCTTTGACATTGCTAAGGGCTACCCTCACATGCTCTCATTCTCAAAAATAAGATGCCACTCTCAGAAGCAAACTTGGTAAACTCACAAAGCAACACAGTATAAACAGAGAAGTAAAATTTCTATCAGTGTTCTACTGAAGGGTCTTTCACATGTGGTCTTTTGGAGCGGAGTGTTAGAGAAGACTGCCTGAAAAGATGCTAAACTTCTTGCCATTACAAATGGGCAGAGAAAACATTGTTATTGTCTCCTAACTATTCTGTTTTAGCAGTCTGTAACAGAAGACACTCCTATGGGTATAACCCTTCTCTTTTTTTTGAGATGGAGTCTCGCTGTATCGCCCAGGCTGGAGTGCAGTGGTGCAATCTTGGTTCACTGCAACCTCTGCCTCCTGGGTTCAAGCGATTCTCCTGCCTCAGCCTCCTGAGTAGCTGGGATTACAGGTTTGTGCCACCGCACCCGGTTAATTTTTTAATTTTTAGTAGAGATGGGGGATTTGCCATATCGGCCAGGCTGGTCTTGAACTCCTGACCTCATGTGATCTGCCTGCCTCGGCGTCCCAAAGTGTGGGGATTACAGGCATGAGCTACGGCGCCTGGCCTCTTGTCTCTCTTATATCCTTTCACATCATTCAAAATGAGAAGAGGCAGGAATGGTAAGGAATGAGAACCTGGGAGGATAAAGTACGCTATTTCACCTTTTCCTGCCAAATCCACTGGATTCTTGTACAACACAATTCTAAACAATCTTCACATTGCCAATTCCTATTGAATGGGTGGAATAAGAAATCAATGTTTTTCTTTGGTCTAAATTCCATCTAAAGAAAGTTGTTAGGGCTGGGCGCGGTGGCTCACGCCAGTAATCCCAGCACTTTGGGAGGCCAAGGTGGGTGGACCACAAGGTCAGGAGATCAAGACCATCCTGGCTAACATGGTGAAATCCAGTCTCTACTAAAAATACAAAAAGGTAGGAAATCGCTTGAACTTGGAGATGACCAGTGCAGTGATCCAAAATTGCGCCACTGGCACTCTCCATCCCTGGGTAACACAGTGA